CTCATCGCGTTCCTGCCCCCGCTGGTCCCTCTTTTGCTCCTCCCGTTGCCCCTCCCCCCGTCCACTGCCCTGGTCCCCACCTCCCCGCACCCCCTCCGACTCATCCCGTTCGTCCCCACCGCCTTTTCACGACGCAGAAAAACAACCGCGCAGGCCTTGGATCTACGTGCGCAAAAGACAAAAGATGGCAATGTATTTCTCCTCACTCTAGCAGTAGATTCACTCTCGTGAGTAGTGCAGCGAGGCCCTAAGTCCAAAACGAAACGACGCGAGCTGGCCCACAAAACGACAGAAAAGATAGGCAAGGTATTTCTCCGTACTCTAGCGGTAGATTCAGTTTCGTGAGCAGTGCAGCGAGGCCCTAAGTCCAAAACGAAACGACGCGAGCNGTTTCGTGAGCAGTGCAGCGAGGCCCTAAGTCCAAAACGAAACGACGCGAGCGGGCCCACAAAACGACAAAAAAGATAAGCAAGGTATTTCTCCGTACTCTAGCGGTAGATTCGGTTTCGTGAGCAGTGCAGCGAGGCCCTAAGTCCAAAACGAAACGACGCGAGCGGGCCCACAAAACGACAAAAAACGATAAGCAACGTATTTCTCCGTACTCCAGCGGTAGATTCAGTGAGTAGTGCAGCGAGGCCCTGGGTCCAAAACGAAACCACGCGAGCGAGCCCACAAAACGACAAAAAAAGAGGACACAGGTGTCTCGTGGGCCCGCCCCTTGCCCTGCCGCCTTTCCCAACACTGGCAAGCGGGTCTCCTTGGGAGCGTCACGCGAGACCCTTTACACGCTTTAAGAGTGTTAAGGAGAAGTTAACTTTACATTCCCTCTTATGAACAAGGAAACGGACCTCAATGAGGGCAGATGGTGCTCTATGCATTTTAAATGGAAAGATGAAGAGCTCCTCCTCCTCAATATCTATGCCCCAAACAACGCAGTCGAAAGAACGTCTTTCCTGTTAGACTTGGGGACAAAGATCCCACCGCTGACGTCGTGTATAGTGGCGGGCGACTGGAATGCAACCTTAGACCCAGTAACAGACCGCATATCCAGATCCTCCAACACTTACAGCTCTCAAGAGGCAATACCGGTCCAGAGACTGATGGTAGATCACGACCTAGTAGACCCCTTTAGAATCTTCCATCCGACGTCGAGAGCATTCTCACTGATCAAGAAAAGCCATGCGCAGCACACAGCCTTCTCACGAATAGACTATTTCCTAATATCAGGCACAATGATGGGAGCGGTGAAAGAGGCGGTGATCCTGCCTTTAGCACCTTACCCAAGGCTGGATCACAAACCCATTGAGCTCACGATATGCTTTGAGCAACAAGTAAGGAAAGGGGCCAGCTTTCACAAACTGAAAAACTCACTCTTGCTGAGTCAAACTTTCCAAGAAGGGATACAGGAATATTGGAAAGAGAGGGGTATGAGCCTCCTTCCTACTCATGATCGGTGGGAATGGTTCGTAGAGAGTTACTCGCTATTAGCGGAGGCAGCAGCCGACATGTCAAGAAAACTGGCCTCTATGAGGAAGCAGAGAAAACAAAGCCTAGAAAAGGCTCTGAAGATAGCAGAGTACAACCTGAGGGATAACCCGTCCTCAACACTATATACGGGCATATTTGAGAAAGCATGGGAAGAGCTAGCGATGTGGAGGTGGTGGGAGTTAAAGGGCTTGCAGATAAGAGCCAGGAAGTGTGAATATGATCTCAGCGAATCAATGTCGAAACACTTCTTTGCCCGAATTAAAGCGAATACAAGAGCGGCTACAATAGAGAAATTGAAAACCCTCAGCAACCCGGAGGTGTTGGCGGAAACCAGCGAAGGGATTTTGGGAATTGCTAAAGAATTCTACCAAGACCTATATCAGACTAAAACCCAAACACCCACGCCAAGCAACACATTGGAAGCAAGACAAAGGATGTTACAATATTTGGAACAAACGATATCGCCAGAACAATCAGAAGAGTTGGACAAGCCCTTATCATTGGAGGAGCTAAACCAAGCTCTTAAGAGCATGAACAATGACAAAGCACCAGGCATTGATGGGCTGATGAGAGAATTCTGGGAAAAATTCTGGCCATACCTCAGGGGGGACCTGTTGAACTTCTACAAAGATAGCTATGAGAAAGGGGGTTTAGGCAGTTTGCTGAGTAGTAGCGTTGTAACACTACTGTACAGGAAGGGGGACAAGGAAGACATCAGGAACTATAGACCTATCTCTTTACTAACCCTCCCATACAAAATCCTGGCCAAGACCCTGGCTGCCAGAATTACGAAAATAACTGACAAATGCTTTCACATTGATCAAACGGGCTTTATCCCTGAATGTTACATATTGGATAATGTGCTAACTCTAAACGAAGCTGCAAACAAAGTCAGAGAAAGGAGGATAAACACAGCCATACTCTTCTTCGACTTTGAAAAGGCCTATGATCAAGTCAACTGGTCTTTTATGGATGCAAGTATGGAACGCATGGGGGTGGGTCCAATTTTTAGGAAATGGATCCAGGTCTTGTATAATAATGCCTCAGGCTGCGTACAGATTAACGGGTTTCTGTCTGACAGTTACCCAATATCACGTTCAGTTAGGCAAGGAGACCCGCTAGCCCCATCGATTTTCCTATTTGTGATGGAGGCCATTGCTTCCTTCCTAAGGAAAGACCCCTCCATACATAGACTTCCAGAGGTCAATGTAGGGACGTCTCACCATCTCAAGTTCCCGACAGTTATTTTGTTTGCAGATGACATGACAATACTGATTAGAGCTTCGGATTCGTCCTTTAAAGCACTGTCCAGGGCAATGGAAGCATTCAGAGTGGCATCGAAAATGAAGATCAATTGGAAGAAGACCATAGGCTGGTGGCTGTCAGATGAACAAATTCCCAACCTACAAGAACCGGAGGCTACCATGTCCTGGGACACGCCAGAAACACCCACCCGATACCTAGGCATCCTCATGTCACGGGAGGGTCTGGTACCTCAGATGGCCCAGAACATGTTAGCTAAACAGTTGAACAAATTGGGAAGACGGGGGAACACATTCACCTCACTGATTGGTCGGGCCTTGGTACTTAACACTTCTGTCTTCTCTATGATGTGGTACATTGCGTCGGTCTGGACAATTCCAGACGACTCACTAAAGGAACTTAATCGAGTGGCCAGGGCGTATTTATGGACAGGCAACCCCAACAAGGAAGGCTGTATCCCAAAGATAGCTTGGCAGTATATCACAAGAAAACCAGTACAAGGGGGCTAGTAATCATCGACCCGAGGTGTGAAACGAGAGCTCTTCAAGTCAAATGGATAGTCCGATTGTTGACCAAACCAGAAACGACATGGAATAAACTGGCCCTGGACAGCATAAGGGCCTTAGCTC